TGGGCCTGGATCTCCATGTCGGAGGGGATGGCGGCCATGGCGGCCACCACGCAGGCGGCGAGAACGATGAGGACCTTCATGATGTCTGCAAAATAGATGTATAAAAGGGTAGAGTTGCGCAAGATTTTGCGGGGAACGGTCCTATCCCAAAGGTGAGTCTGGAGTCGCATTGACTGTTAAATGAATAATTTCTATGATTGTCCGACAGAACAATCGTATGGTAGATTCGGTGTTCAAATCGTGGTGCAAGACAGCTCCACAACAGAATTAAAAAAAGGAATACCCAGGGAATAATACTGTTAAACAAGATGACAGCTAACTGGAAAACTGAAAGGTTTCACAGCTAAAACTGCAAAAGTTAAAGGTTTAAATCGTGTTGTTAAAACTGTCATCTTTTTTTATAGTCCGATTCTTAGAGTACCTTAATTTTTATGATTTTAAAATACACAGACGATTGAATTATGCAAAAAAACAAACAAACAAAAACAACAAAAAAACTAACGATGCTAAAGTGTCCCCCCGCGCAATAACCAGTTACACACTGTATAGTAAATGAGATTCTGCCCTGGCTCTGCATTCAGTACTCACCGGAGAGGGTTTGCCGTGTGCTGATCACTGCCGAAAGGTGGCCCTTTATACTCCGATCGTCATGAAATGTCGGCTTCTTATCTTTCCTCGTTCTCGTCTGATGACTTTGAAGGACAGCTAAACGCTAGAGTCCAAGTGACAGGAGGCACCGCGCTTATCAAGGGCAGACTTTTTAATTATTTCCACTGATAAACGTGACGCCGGAGTGGCTCTCGAGAGTACGGGCGCGACCGCGGCACGTGCGACTCGTGCTGTGTAACCGCGCGTAATCACAGTCATCCAAACACTGCGACGTCACATTCGAGCGTTCGGGCATTGTGTCACATTGCTGCGAATATGTCATGGCACATTCGTGGGAACGTTTCTTTACCAGTAGCGTCTGCACCCGCAGGCCATGTGCACGCTATTCATACTACCCTTGTCACGTGAGGTGCTGTCACATATAGTACAGAAACTAATGTGACACGAGTAACTGTCGTTTGAATATGACGTGACAGTGTGTGAACTAAAGTCATTTCTAGTCCAAATTTCGTTAAATAATTTTCTTGAACAGTGTGCCCCACCGACCCCTTCCTTTGTTTTGATTACTGCGTATCAGGTGCGCGGCCTATCATCGCTCAGCATAGCGTCTTATGGCCCCGTGTGAGTATGCGACCCACCCGCACCTCAGCATCCACCACAGTGTGACTGCAATGAATGGAGAAGTCTGCGGACCAGCCTGTATTGCCAAAAAGAACACCTCGGAAAAACTGAGTTTCGTGCAATTATTACAAATTCCATTTGCATTGAACAGGACGTAAATTCTTTTGTTGGCAGATTGGCTTTTTCACAAATAATCACGATTAATCAAAAAGTAAGTCAATGTTTTTTTTCTGTGTAAATCTATGATGGTCTGATCTGAATACACGAGTAATATAAATACCTTCCAAAAATAAAAAAATGTGAGGTCAAATCTTCCACAAAGCTACACTGAAATAACAAAATACAGGACCCGTTTTTTCTTTCTTTGGAAGGATAACAATACTAATGTACACAAAAGAAGGTCCTTGAGCGCAATTATTTGCATTTTTTGATAATCTCTCCGCCCGCGAGGTATCGTCACAAATTTAAGCGAATCATTCACCGTTACGAAACTGCCTCAAGTTCGGCCTCTACAAGCTCTCATGCTCATGAAATATAAGTACGAAAGAAATACATTTATGAAAACGGTTTCTAAGAGACGAAGCGAGTGTGTTACATCAGTTTAAAACACACAGAAGTTCAGCACAACACTCTAAAACCAAGTGTGTACATAGTACACTTTTGCTTATGTGTGTATAGTTCCTTGTGTGTACTTAAAAGCACACACAGCGAAGTGTGTGCCTAGCATGGCACACACAACGAGGTGTGTGCCACGCATGTACACACTTCCTAGTGAGTGCCATGCCATGATAGGCGCACAATTTCTTATGCGTACTTTCAAGTTCACACAACGAAAATTGTACTACGTATCGGGTGTAACCGGTGAATACGCAGCAGTGTCGCGGGTTTGACTAATCTTTACACCCGTAAGGGGCCATGGCCCCTGCAGCCAAATTGAGTATGTGATCCCGCAACACTGCTGGGTATTCACAGGTAGACCCGGTACATACTTGGGTTTACAGTGAACATGCCGTTCGTGCAGAGAAGACAGTGAGCCAGTGTGCAGAAAACGCTGATTCAGTGGTGCATGTAATTTATTGTCGTTTACTGAGTACAGTCGTCAGTACGGGTGCACTGCAAACTTAGACAAGGGGGTAGCTGGCCTCGGTGGCGATACCACAGTTGTTCTTCTTGTTCCGGGCCATCCTGATGTAACCTTCCTCACCCCAGGAGGTGCCCCATGAGTTCTTGACGATCCAGTACTGCTTGTTGGGCCAGTCGGTGCCGTAGCCTACGGCAAGCACACCGTGGTCCAGGGAGTCGGAGGAGCAGGCAGACTCGTAGTAGATACCGCTGGAGTACATCTGGAAGCTCCAGTTGCTGGCGTCGATGGCGACAGACACGGGGCCAACCTTCTCGACGGCGTCACGGAGGGCGCTCTCGCTTTTGGACTGGACGTCCTTGTAACCGGTGTTGACACCACCGTTGTTCTCAGCCTTGTACAGGCAGGAGTCACCGTCCTGTCGATAACAACAAAAACGTGACAATTTGTCCAAAAGCTTGAACCCATTTTAAAGTCTGGCGAGTCACTGACCTCACCGGTGTAGGGGTAGCTCTCCTCGGTGTCGATACCGTGATTCTTCTGAATGTACTGGAAAGCGGCTACCATCATACCACCGTTGCAACCCTCGTTACCGAAGTCCCGGGAGCAGTCGACCAGGTTCTGCTCACTGAGAGAGACCAGCTGACCAGTCTTCTTAAAGAGCTGACCCTCGAGGGAGCCGGTCTGAAAACCATATTTTTTTGAGGTATCTGTGATCAAATTACCGCACTCATCGAGCCACTGTCACCTCCGTAAAAAGGTGCAGAACGAATTAAAGAGGTAAGCACGATTATGACACGAGTTCGACCCAGATTAATTGCTAGTTGGGCGCAAGCAAGTGTAGAGCACAAGGGGTTTGATACTGTAATGTTCAAGAAACACGACCCCATATTAACTCATAATCACGTCTATTATCCATAATATTCTAAAATCTGTATCTATAATCTGATGATCATTAATTTGGTAACCCTTATAATCTACATCAAAAAGTATACGGCTGAGGTTAGTTAAGATCCCTTGGTAGAGCATGTTGGCAACTAGAGAACCCCTGCCTACAGTGCATTAACCACCGTCTAGTTAAGACTTACAGCGGAAAAGGACCAGCAGGAGCCGCACTGGCCCTGGTCCTTAACTGGGGTGACGGCACCCGGGGACCTCCAGTCGACCTTCTTGCTCCAGGGCCAGGAGTCGTTGACGGCGGTGTGGACGAAAGCGCTGGCCTGCTTCTGGCCGCTGCGGTAACCGTTCAGC